CTATTTCACCGCACTATAGTGGGTCAGTATCCTGTGGTGGTGTGGCCGTTCATTGAAAAGTGGATTAAGGCAGCACGACCACTATTTAGAGTAGTGACCTTGATTAGGAGAGTCAATAAACGCGCAATGTGAATTTGTGCACCAAAGGTCTGGGATAACTCTGTAGTAAGATATATTTATTGGAATGTTCACAAAAGGTATGCTGCTACACTGCTTGTAGTTTTCAGCTGGACTCAAATTTCTCACTCATAGAAAAAATTTAAACACAGGAGGAAGATGTACGTACTAAGTATTACTTATCACATTTCACTTTACGGTTAGCAATCCCACCGTATGTACTCCAGTAAAGCTACCAAGGTCTTCCGCGCTCAACGGTGCCCCATGTCCAGATGGGTCACTGTCGGTCTCATCGGCGGGAACTTCAGAAGGTACGTGAATACAGTGTACCAACATCGGTCTTCGTGGATGACATCCATGTATTCTACAGTCTGTAGGCTGTCAGAACCTTCTGGACAATACAGTCGAAATAGAAACAACTGTAGTACTCTATTTCCAGCTTTATGCAGCATATACTCAACCCATTGATACTAAACGAACTTGAAAAAACAGCTTCAGGAAGCAGCGTCTAAGTCTGCAGCTGTAATTGCTCCAAAAACTGAACGGTTTTCAAACGAAGAGTATCTTTTTGACCTGCGTTCCACTTAAAAAGGCTTGCGAAGGAGTAAATCTATACCGTTTGCGTGTAATTTAAATCTACGAAAGATTTTTAATTTTCTTCTGGAGCGGTCAACAGTCCACCCACTGATCTGGGCGTCAAGCAAATCTGGAATTTTTACCACCCAATGGTTGTGCACTTATTGAGCATTTTAATGCGTTCAATTTGTCAGTCAGTCTAACTGGAGATTTTAGATTTTCGTATTCATTCCTAAGTACAAGGTACCAGAAGGATGTGAAAAACTGCGAAAACTATTTGCTAGTACAAATATTGTGGTGATGGTCCTATCAGGTTCCCAAGATTGAAGTCAATCATGGCACATCAACGGTTGCGTAACACGAAGTGTCATGTGTATCGCGACGTTTTTTGGGACTTCTTTAAAACCCTACCAATTTAAACCAGAAAACATACGTAATCCCACTGAAATCAACCGGCGAAAAACAGATATACGTATTGGGAATATCAACTTAGTTAAGAAGCTTGTTGCATGCCAAACCAGGGGCGTCCAGTAGTATAATTATGTCATTTATTCTCGGAACCCGAGAGCTGATAGAATCTAAAAAATAGACTGATCACAGGCAAACATGTGCGGAGGAAGGTCATGTCCTTTATGAGGAGAAGGTAGTTTATAGTAGCTTCCTTATCCAGTTATAGAACACATGTTCAAATTAACAAAATAACTGGTCGTCGGTTTGTTCACTGGGGTGGATAATTTCATTGCAAACGTTTCATCATCAATCGAGGTGACGTCATAAGTGCGTTGTTAGGGTAAGTGTTGGGCAGCGTAGCGATGGGTCGCTGATTGTGCGCTGAGTAATGTTGTGTGTGTGTTAATATACGCGCTGCCAGCCGAGGCTGACCTTCGATCATCATTGGTCGTTCGGCTAGACGTTGCCATTGGTTGGGCTGTGATCCTGTGTCGTGATTTGTCGGTGACCACGTGACCTTGCAGCTTTGCCGCCCCACTCTAGTACTTCTGTTGGTGCTGGAGTGACCTCTGCCCTTGACTACTCTGAGTCCCATTTTGTGACCTTGGTTGATCTGACTCCAAGCAGTTTCTTTTTTCTTGGTTTGAGATTCTGGCCCCTTGCAAGTTTTTGTGTGTAGATTTGATCTATATCAACGAGTCGGTTGTTCATATCATTCGTACATTGGTCAAAGCTGACAGCTATAGTCTTCGACCGACACTCTGGGAGTGCTTGCAACTAACGTCAAGCTTTCCAAATCAGGACTTCTTAAGCGTTGTATTTAGACTCTGGTTGTTGCAAAGTAACACCCCTTTCACGCGCGATTCGTTTGGGGGAAGTTCATAGCCTTACTAGGAAAATATTGATCACTTTCGAAACCTTGTTTACGTTGGTGTTTAGAAGGGTGATTCTGAGTCGGGTCACTTGATGATTGTAGCTCTTCGCGAACATATAAAGGCGAATGTCCAAACCACTGTCCTTGAGTTCATGCCTACGTAGAAATGGTGTGAGACCGATTCCGAACTGCCTATCACAAAGAGTTTCATACAGGTTGTTTGCTTCCTTACGTCTTCTGCTGTGACGTTTAGTTCTCACCACATAGATATCATTTGGATAAGCGCGGTGGGTCAGCTACCATGATGTATCTATCTGATATACTCCCGAGTAGTACTACACGGAATTTCAGAATACGTCGTTATTTTCACCGACCTCTAGCGCGTAGGCGGCAGAAAACTGTATGGCCCAGCCACAAAGAAACTGATTTGTTATTGACGTAGATGATATAGAATACAAACAAAAAATCTTGCATTAATATGGTTTATTCGTCAATATGTGAAGTACCAGGTCAAACAAGGTCCGAACAATTTTTTTCTCGGAAACAATAAGCGACAGCAGAATCAAGTTGATATCCCAGCTCTTCAAAATCTTAGGCATGCTACCACCAAAGACCGGCTGATTTCGGCTTGTCGCTTAAAGAAGTTGGGTACGATCCAGGTAAATGTTCCCCAGTGATTGAACACAAAACTTGTTTTGGAGTAATGACTGCTTACATCCAGGTTGTGTTTGATTCACTGCGGTGATTAACTAACCAAGGCATATTTAAATGTTTCGAGTTTATGCAGATAAAATACTCATTCACGACAATTTGTTATTCACCAAAAATGGTCGAACAGTCACTCTGCGAACTTTGTAATGGCAATATAACCGAACCTCTTGTACCAAGAATGAAATTATTTTTAAAAAGATATATCATTTCTAATCGCAGGAAGTTACGCAAAACATGAAAGATTCTAGCCACTTATTTTGGAACTTTTTAGGGACACTCGAAAGGAGCCTTCCTATGATTTGACCTATGACAAAGTACTGGGGCCATTAGGACAGAAAACTTGACCAATAACTTTGGTTTACACGAATCAAGTCGGTGTTGTATTAAACGTCGCAGAGATGGGAAGGTGAATAAACTGGGTCAGTTTCAGTTTAGATCCTTCCAATATTGATTACTCTGATGATTGAGATGTAGAGGAAGACCACTTGAAATCATGGCTCATTTGAAAACCAGAAAACGTAGAACGCATATGGGAAAATCCAAATTTATCTGGTACACTATTCTGAGTTCAGTTGCGGAAAACTAGTCCAAATATCCTCTAGACGGTAGACTGCCTCAAATGCCACTTGCATTTCATTCTAACCTTTTCGGTCGCAAATCCCTACTTCGACGCAGTGGAAAACTTCAAGTGTAAATAGGATGCCATATTCCCCAAACACCCTAGTCTTATACAAAGTTGGTAAACTATACATCTATGAGGATCACACCCCAGGATTAGTATGCGGCGCTAAACGTCCAGATATACCTCAAAAGTGGGACGAAATTTGTAGGTGTTTTATGATTTAACCACCCCTAACATATGCAGCTGCCTTCACTGGTCTGTGAAGCACAAACCAAAAATCCTGTTATCATTCAAGGAACGTAATATGGTTTGCTTGCTTTCCACCATCCAAATGAACTATCACGTTCAGATCACTAGCGAAAATTCATCTACTCTCTTTTGTACCAAGCACAAGTATCGTGTAGCAGATATGAAACAAAATCCAACACGAGTATGATAGCAAGGAGCGAGTTTGCTCAGCATGGAAGAAAATTTCAGGTGCGTAGGGGATTTTCATTACGAGGCTGAAGAATATGATGAGAATTCTTTCAAAACACGGCATGTTTCTTATCCGACCTGTCCTGGACTGGTAGAGTCGAAAGATTCGTTTGTAAATTCAAAAATTAGCATGCTTCTTTCAACATTGAGAACAGTCGTTTCGTGGCCGATATTTCAGGAAGAGTGATCCCGAGATTTATTGAGTAATTTAACAGCTTGCTGTCCTTCGTGTACTTCGTCAAGAGTTGATGTGCACAGCAGTGGATTTTGTTTGTAAGCATTTTAAATCTACACGAAAACTTATGCAACACAACCATTCTACGTATTTTGTGGTGAAGTTTCTCTGTTTATACTGTTCCGTCTAATTCGTTGCTAAATTCACTAACCAATTAATTAATTAACTAATGAGTATCGGGTAGATTCCTGAGAAGTGTTCGACGTTTTGTTGAAGCACGTAGGTTTGCGGTCGATGAATGTCATGTATTAGGATACATAGTAACTTTCATTTGAGATGTGTTTGCGATTCGAATGTTCAATCACTGATTTCTAATGCTATTATTTTTTATGAGACATTATATGCCAAAGTGATTAAAGAAATAGGTAATTGTTCTTAGTGAGATACACTCATTTTCAAATAAATTGGGTTTTACGAAAGAATCACCTGGAACCCAGCTAAATCTCTCGATTGTGCTATTTACAGGCAACCGTTTTATTATGTAGCTTTTTGAGACCCTTTCTCAAAGCTGTTTTTTCACATCCCGTTTAATTTCGACCAAACACATGTCAGGGAATAAATCAGCAGCCAAACTTCGATCCGAATGCCGTAATTTGACTTTAAGCTTTGAAGTTATGGCCAACAATGGACACCATCTTTGACCTGCTCTAATACTAACTGGAAAGTTGCATTTGTAACAACCATCAGGTCGCGACGTTTACTTGCCTGAACAATAAATAGGTAAACGAGATTTGATAATTTTCTGTTAACCACAGCTGATGAGTGGCTGTCATAGACTTGCGAACCAACACTCAACCAACTCATCGTTTTGACATTAGGGTCTTCAGAATCGATTACCGCATTACTTAAAGGAGATTGAGGGAAATCTTTTGTAGTAAACATAAAGCCGCCCAGCTAACTGATGTATCCTGTTGTTCTCCACCTGTTTGCTCTTCTAGTTACATCGCGAGTCTGGCTATGCAGATATGATGAATTACCCGGCTGTCGATGGTACAGCCAATCCAGATTTTATCACAGTACTACCAAGTGGAGAGAATGACATTTCCCATTCTTCCCAATCAGTGTATGAAGCGGATCCGCGGATTGATCTAATGTACAAGTCTTCTCATTCTCTGCCTCCTCTGCCCAATATGCGAATAATGAACGCATACGACCCCCAAGGCGCTAATTTTATTGATTGCCGTGGACCGATCTGTAACGAGGATTATGGTTATGCAGCTCATGTGGTGTCCTCAGCCATACCAAATTCAATTGAAGAACGCTATCCAATAGCTCAGTCAGTTGCAGAAGCGAATGGACAAACAAGCTTGCTTGCACCACCAGTGGCGGAGCCGTATGGTTTCAGTCAGAACCTTAGCGAGGTGCAGTTTCCACTGGAAGTTATGGATTATCCACAAATGCAGGTAGAACACTGGTTTGAATAACAAAATAACAGTGTTAGCATAGAACAGAAAACTTGAAAAAGCCATGAAAATTTCAGGCAGCAATCATGGTTCTTTAAGCAGCATAGTAATACTGAATAAAGAGCGTCAAAGACCAACAATAAATCATCTTGCATGAGAGTGAGTGTCTTCGGCTGTGCTCAAGGTTTTATCACATTGTAAAACATTTAGCTATCTTTTCATGGCGGAAAGTCATTACAACTCGACATTTGATTATGCCGTTTTGCCGTCTAACTTTGTCCAAACACAATCAGTGTAGCAATGCGGACCTATAAAATAGAGTCAAGTATTTTTCGCCGTTTCATGAGCATTAGTGAGATGAAACTGCATAGCCTTGAGTCTACGTTCCTAAGCTGATGGTTGTTGTTTATTCGTCAAGTTCTACCTGAAATGAGAATAATGGTACAATTCAGTCGTTCGAAAACATATGGTGGGTCTAAAAATAAACTGTACACAAGAAAAAGCAAAACATCTCAGACGACCTGCTAGATCTCGGTTCATCTCACTAAAATATGCGACAAACACATGCCCGAATCTATGTCTGACTTCTCCTACTTAGCTGTGAAAAGTAGATGAAAAGTGTACGTGTGTTTTATTCGATGTCGTGTACTGCCTTTCTTTAACTCAATTGGGCTATTTCCTGCTCCTCATCATCGACTGCACAACGTCAGTTTTCATCACTGACGCTTCGCAGCTGAACGGCCATAATTAATTCGAAAGTAAAAAAGTGGATGGAGAAAGGACTTGGTGTCAAGCTTATCATAATCATTCCGGAGTGCATTCACCTACAGATACTCTTTCATGCAATCTGGATCGACAATAATGACAATAATGTCACTGACACATTAGTAGCCATATGCTGCAATGTCTTCAGTCATTTGCAGGGAGAACTCCACACCGGAAGGCGAGTTTAATGGACGGTATCAAAAATTTCCATAATCTCTTTTGTACTCCTATTTAAAACAAACTACGATTCAGTATGTTGAATAAATGACCGAGCCACAGCACCTTTCAGTGCTAGGCACAGCACTCGAGGGAAGTCTGCTGCACAATAGAACACGTTCTCTAATTTGCTGGCATTAGCCTACACGAGTTTCGGTTCCGAGATAACGGTTACCCAGGAACTGGGGATTTATCAGATTCGCAGAGGTCATTTATCACAAACACGATAAAACAGCCCGTGCTCTAGGCTGCTCAATGTGTCTCTTGGAATCCGGTGATGTGCCACTTTTCCAACTAGACGTCTCAACTAACTAAACATGCTCTAACTCTCATGAATCTGTAAATTGGCGCCATTCTTCAGAAAACAATCGGTACTTTTGTAACTTCCAAGATACATAAAGAGCTCCACAACACGCACTACCTGACCTTGAACTTCGAATGTTGTGTTCAGTGAATGCACGCCCGGAAATACGACCTAACACTTTATGAATGTACTAGTAGGCTGGTTGATCTGACACCCTGAAGGTGTCTTCGAATCCACACACAGTGGTGCGTTACCCTCAAAACTCCCGATTATCCCCCTGAAGTCGAGTCTACAGCTAAAATCTCAAGTGTAGCCGCAGTTCCAAAACACTGATGTCCAGTACGACCATTACTGATTGCAATGGATGACTTTACCTTCGAGTAATGATATTTACTCAGGTGGCCGACAGTTTAACCAAGAATCTAACACTGTGCTGTACACCGAATGGCGAGGTGTTTGTCAACGCAAGGTTATTGGTTGATATAGCACCCGGTACGTGTCCTATTTATGGTGAGCCCTATTCAATAGACAGCCCATCAATTTTTATTGACAACCAAGCTAATGTGACAACAGAGTTTCATCACATGCCTGAGGAAGACGATTCTTATTTGGTCGTCCCACAAGCTCCTCATGTTTTTTCTCTGCCGAATTTTGTGGTCATAGTACATGGGTGAATGAATAAGCTTTGTGGATACCAGAAGTACCAATGTGATGAAAAAACTCATCGAAAAACTGGTTTCAACGGATTGATGAAACTGGAAAAAACAGTGAACGTATGTGACCAGCAATATAAATGTCGGCAGCTTTCGCTATGTCAGTTTCTTTCCAGATTGTCTGATTGAGTGGTTTGAAGTGCAGGCACCTCAGAATGCTTGACATAGACCAGCATTAGGTCCCCTCCCTCATCCACTTCTTCTCTCCTTTTCACTCTATGGCTTTTAATATAATTATATATATATATATATATATATATATATATATATAACTAGACGCACCTTATGGTTGCACGGTAGTG